CGGATGGGCGAACGGGCAAGCGGGAGGGTGGTCCCGGGCTCCAGCCGGGGCGGGGTGGGGTGGCGACCGCGCGCTGAGGCCCGCTGGGCTCTCTGCTTCCCAAGTGTCCCTGCAAGGCGAGTTCCAGAGGAGGCTGTACAAGGAGCTGGTAAAGAACTACAACCCGCTGGAGAGGCCGGTGGCCAACGACTCGCAGCCGCTCACCGTGTACTTCTCGCTGAGCCTCCTGCAGATCATGGATGTGGTGAGTGTGGCGCGGCGCTCGGGTCGCACACCCTTCGGTCCCAGACGGGGTGACGTGCCGGGCAGGACACCCCCACCCCCAGCCACCTGTGCGTGGGCACTTGGGTCGCTCCTTTCTCTCAGCTGGAAACTCCGGACTAAAGTGTCCCGAGTTGGGAGTCAGTAGCAGGAACAGGCTGCGTTGGTCACTTTCCGTCTTCCTTAGAGAGAAAACTAGTGTAGTCCTGTGCCCGGTGTAGTTTAGTCACTTAAAGGTTTCTCTCTCTCCTTAGTGACTGCGTAGTGCCTTGGCGGGGGCCTGGCCTTTCTGCTGCCGGTATGTCTGGGTAAAAGGCTAGCTGTAGGTGTTTAGAACCCCGCTCCCATTCAGGTGATAGACACTGTTTTTATTTTGTGATCAGGACGGGTGCCGACAATCCTTTATGGAGGATTTCTAGCAACTAAAAGCAGTCCCTTCGACCCCCTTGCAGCAAGCTACCAGATTTAGGCGACACGCCCCTGCGGTATCTGTGTCCGCTTTTTGTTTGTTTGTTTGTTTTTTCTCCTTCTTCTAGCAAGGCTACTTGTACGATTTTTCATAGGTGGAATTTTCAAACAGGGCCAATACTTAGAAAGTTTCCAGTATCGGTTCTATACAAGGCTTGTAGTGAGTGGGTCAAGTGCAACAAAGGAGTAGTTGTGTTCATCAGGAGGAACTACTGTGGGAGGAAAGAGGAACCAGAATAATCACAGCTCCAGGTAGGAAGTGCGGAAAACCACGAAAGGCTGACTTAGGTAAAGTGGTGTGGCAGGTGATACTTCTCCCTCCCAAGCTGCTCCTCTTAATCTAGTTGTCATGATGAATGTTCTGTCTTCATACTATACCCATTAAATCTGCTTTTCCTAATATGGCAGGATCCTGCTTACTAAGTATTTGTGTGTAATTTGGGGACTTTAGCATGAGAGAGGTAAAGACAGCTGGTGTCCCATGGACAACTGTTTTCTAAGTTTGCAGAGCATTGACTTAAGGAAAGGAAGAAAAAGAAACTGAGTTAGAGTGACAGACACTGAGGAGGGCAGGCGGAGTCATGGGGCTGAGCGCAGAGGAGAGAGAAGTAGAGGTAGCGAGCTGAGGTGTGGAGGAGGTGCAAAGACTCCTGGGGAGTTAGGGTCTGGGAGAACTGCAGAACAGTTCAGGTAAGTAAGTAGTGGAGTTGTTGTTTCTGTTGCTTCTGGCTTCGCTCGTCTCTGGGTGGTTGACTGGACGTTTCATAAACACTAGAGCTTTGCTCTGTTAACCGAATGGACACTTCGCCAGCCATTGTGAGGCACTCAAGACAATATGAATAACTTAAAGATTCCCCAAAGCCAGGTACACAGTTGTAGTTATTTTCATGCAAAAACTACAGAAGGAAGGGGTCAGGTAACTAGGCTAATGTGTTTCACGAGAATCGCACTGTAAGATGCCTCTCTCTGCCTCTACTTTCTCTGCCAGGGTTTGCGTTGACCAGTCAGCCTTATCGTGTGCTCCATAGCAGCTTCTGATGGGGTAGTGAGCTTTATGGTAGGGTCACTCAGTTGAGGAAGAAGTGTTGTGTGAAGAAGTGTGGTAGACTTTCTAAGGCTATTGAGAAGACTCTTAGGAAATCTGGTTAACATGTTAATAAGGCTTGTTGACTCTTAACTCTAGGGTCAGTGATGTGGGAAGAATTAGTTATGTTAGAAAATTGGAAAAAAATTAAAACGACGTATCATATATCTTTATGTATTGCCATATCCATTGTTAGAAACACACGTGTAAAGAGGGTCGTGAGCAGAGGTCTAGGGAAGGATGAGGTTTGGGGAAGTTGTGGCCTTACCGGAGCCTCGGATCTAGCTGTGCACACATTGAACTTCCCACTAAGCAATGCGGCCCGTTTGTGGAGTGGCCTTGAGAGAGCTGCTTAACTTTTCTCAGCCCTGCTCCCTCATGTGTAAAATGAGAACAATCATTATCCACTTCATGGGTTTTGAGAGGATTAACAAAGAGAGATTCTTGCCACATGCTGACAATTTGCTGAAAGCTTGCTCCATCTTAATTATGCAGCCATTCCTCTCAGAGGTCAGGAAGTCCATTCCTAGAGAGGTGTGATCATTTGCCCAAGGATGCTCAGAGATGACAGGCGATCGGCTAAGGAAAACTCACACGGATTGAGTTTACATGCCCTTTACCCATCCTAAGCTGCTGCTTTTTGACTTGGTAACTAATTTTTGCAGAACGGAGTCACCTGGATAGCCTGTAGCTTATTGAATGTGACCATCTTAAGCATTTTAAGAGAAGGTTTCTACATCAGGCTGAAGGAAATATATAAACGTTTGTATTCCAACCCTGTTTGGCTCTGTCTGGTTTTGAAACAGAGCCAGGTCTTTCTTGCTGAAATCTCAGCACTCTGGACAGAGACACCAGCGCTCGTGAAGGTTATGCCTTGCTGTCTTGGTTAGTACTCCTAGGGGTCATTTTGCTCGTTTCAATCTGCTGTTCCATAGACCAGTGTTAATTCTACTCAATTTATTATTGTTCCACACCTTTCTAAAGCATAGGTGTCCTGCTTTCAGGGATGTGGAGATGGCACCCCCGCCCCCCTCTCTCTCTCTCTCTCTCACACACACACATCATGCGAGGTTGTTTGCACCATATATTCTATGTGTGTTTACAGGACTCCCAGTATGTATAGGCCTTGTTAGGTTCTGAGAATTTACACATGAATAAAAGAGGACTTCTACATGTAGAGGCTACACAATCTGGCTGGATCTTAGGCTAAGAAGCAAGAAAAATCTAAGATTTTCTTATGTGATGGAATTTAACATAGTTTACAGGCAAAATCTGCACATGTGCATGGGGAAACATTTATTTGCAGTGATAGTGGCCGTGGCTAGAGTGGTTTTAAAAGCAAGAGGGTGGCTTTCCAACAGGAATTTCCCAGATGGAGAAGGCAGGAAGAGTTTCCAGGTAATGGCGAGGGGGATTGTAATTGTGAGGAGGGAGACACGCCTTCGGCTGGGTGCTTCCATAAGATCCTGGCTCGCTGCCTCCAAGTAGGTGTTTCCGTGAAATTCTGTCTCCATTGGTATTTGCTTAGCTTTGTTTGCAAGACTTCTCAGAAAGTTTATGCTCATTAAAAGTTCAAAAATATTGGTCAAACCATAGATAGTTTTATCAACCCCTTTTCAAGTTTATATTCTTTAAAGAAAAAAAAAAAACGTGTGATTTTCTCTGGTAGAAAGTGCTAGTGTGTAAAGTATCTTGAATAGGGTATAGAGTTCACATGTTGGCCTGTGCTCTTTCTGAGTGTCACAGACTGTGCATGAGGAAGTAATGAGCCAGAGTTGTGTAAAACTACAAGACTATCTTGCCAGATCCTATTGTCCTAGAAATGGAAGCATTCCAACCATAAGGTTTTTGTTAAATCCAGTAAGTATGAATTATGGATTAGAATGAAAAAAATGTGCATATGTTTTAAAGATAGAACATGGGTCTTTTGAGGGTTTTCTGTACCCACTGTTGTCTGTTCCAGTTATTTGGCTGTCCCCTTGGTGCGGCACTCAGGAGAGAGTGAGAAGGCACTGGTGAGTTTCTGAGCAACAGCGGAAAGTATCAGGGTCTATATTTAGAAGATACAGAAGCCTCGGATGTGGGCCAGGCTAGAGAGGAGAGTTTGGACAAGGACACAGAGATCTTTCTTAGTTTATTTTCTGTTGCTCTAACAAAATAGCTGAGACTGCAATTTATAAAGAAGAGGTTTGTTTGTTTTGGTTCCTGGGTGTAGAAACTGCAAAATCTGGGATCACGGCCATAACATCCTCTCGGAGTCTAGTGAGGGCTTTCGTGTGGCTTGAACTCACAGCGGAAAGCAAAGGAGAAAGTGTGACCATGCAGAAGAGGCTAGACACAGGGGCAGTCTTGGCTTGTAACTGCTTCTTGAGGTAGTTGATCCAGTCTCTTGAGAAAGTAACCAAGTTCTCTGAGAAAGGCATTTATGAGGGCTCTGTCCCCAGGACCCATACACCAGTCACTAAGACTCACCCTGATATTACTGTATTAAGGAATTAAATTCCAATACCTGGACTTCGGGGGACAGATTTAAACCATAACAGAGTTGAGCACAGCATGATCTCTGTGGCAATGTGGAGAAGGAGAAAGATTCAAGAGATATTTTTTGTATATACCATCCACGATACATAATTGTACCTAAGCATCATGTATATGACAGATCAGTTAAGTGAAAGTGTTCCCTTTTTCCTATGCATACTCAGGTTTATAGTGATTCTTAACTTACTTCATGGGCCTTTCCCTGGGCTGAGGATGAGGTCATTACCCCATTCCTATGCAATCATGGGAAATCATTTCTAAGACTTGCAGATGGAGGGTTCTGAGTTGCCACTGGCTTTTATAATATTTCTCCTCTGCTGCTATTTGGTCATTTACCTGGACCCATGCATCTAAAAGATTAGATCTTAATGTTCATTTGCATAAAATAAACATGCAGTTATAAACATATCCCGAGAAGGATAATATATTTTAAATGAATAATAGGAATCATTATGTAGTTATGAACAAAAACAAAACACATGATTATGCTGGAATGGATTTTAGGATTTTAAAAGTTTTGGATTGCAGAGCTTTCTGGAAGCGTTACACAAGTCAGTGGAACTGGTGGTTTATTTTGAGTTTGCTGCTGTGGAGGGCAGGCATGGTGGGGAACCCAGTTTCCTACGAACTTGGAGTTATTTGAAGTCCCTTTAGTGTCCTCCTGCTAACATTCAGCAGATTTTGTGATTTTATTTGCTGGCTGCATTTAAAGTGTGTACCTCTGAATGAAAATCATGCTTCTAGGGGATGTCTAAGCAGAAACGGCCAAGGTGAAAAATCAGGTAGTTCCCATAGTTTAACACTTTTTTTGTTTTTGAAGAGAAGTTCTAAGTTCACAGCAAGTGCAGAGAGTTCCCCCCCAGCCTCCTCTGATCAGCATTTCCTGTACAATG